GATCATGACGCGCTTGAAGACCACGCTTTATCGAACAGTCACTCTCGACACGTGGAACGTTATCGATATCGCGCAGGCGCTATCGAAGCCATCAGAAATGGAACGTAATCGAAGGCATGCATACTATACGACCGGTGAAATTTTTTATCAAATAGCTGGACCTGAGACGATCAGGACGGTTTTACCGTATATGCGCCTTTTTTTTTTTGCGATCAGACGAAGCAAGATCCACTTGATCAGTGGGACGGGCAACTGAGATATAGACGACGACGACGACGACAGGAAAACTAGCTGTGTTACTGGCACCGTGAGTGACAAGCCAATAGTTTTGTACGCTTTTTACCTCTTTGTCCTTTTGCTAGAACGACCCTTTCTGCCGTGTAGTCCTGTTGAATAAGTTAAAAATTAAAATGAAATAGATACAACGATCTAAATAATGGCAGAAAGTGAACACTAGAATAATTAGTTCACTGAATATCAAGGGCGATAAATCAATATGAAGGCAAATTCACAGAATTTCATTTGAAAAAGCGATAGACAGCTATTTTGACAAGAAAAGATGACAATTTATTCACTATTATAACATCTAACTAAGTTATGGCGATTCGTCTGCGACAGATTAGTATGAAATTTTAGCGGGTCTTGAAGGACCCAATACAGGCACATCAACGAGTTGGGTTTCGTTGTAGACGAAGCTGTCCAGAGCAAACTGATCGCACTGAAGCCTACGGAGCTATGGATAATTTATCATAACGTAATGCACTCGTCGGCAACACTGCCGGGCCCAACTATAGGACATACTAATGCGATGCGAAGATCGAAGCTTACTGTAAAAATAAGCGATACCGGCACAACGGGCACGTGGATAATAAGGCACTGATATTTCGAGACGCTGTTTATCGTAGCGGACATATAGTCTTCTTCTGCACTTGACGCGAAGAAAAGCCAATTTCTTCTACAACCAAAAAAAAAAAGCTGCTCATCATAACGAAGGATAGTGTATCCCTTATGGAGCTTAACCGAAGAGTATTCAAGTACCATCCAAAGTTATTGCGGAAGACGAACCCTTGCTGATATTTCATGCTTAGATCGTCAGTCCACGATATGGTAAATGTTTATACAGCCACAGAAGCAGAGACAGGTTTCGGCACAACAGAACGAAAAATTCACAACCGAAAGAATGATGCGTGTTCAGGAGTTAATCGATGACGCGCAGAAGTGTATTTCTGATCATTCTCCTGTTTCCATCAGGGCGTTAGCACAGCGGGCCTGCTGCATGTCATATGTCGTAAAAGTCAGATAGATGCGATCCGAGGCTAAAAAAAAAAAGGCCAAGAGATGTACTTGGTGTCGTTTACTCCTATTTCTCCCAAAAACAAAGCAGCAGGTCGTCTTTAATCCTTCCCTTACGGAAATATTCTACTCATCGTTGCAAAAATCAATTGCTGGTTTGCTCACGGCTTAGAAAGTATGTCTGCTGTGGGCAGAAGCAAATTTTCGGCTAATGTTCTGGAATGAACAGCTGTGGCCGCTGAATAGCTTAGATTTGGACCCGCTGGATTACTACATATAAAGCGATGTTAAATGTAGGCCGAACAAGTCTAAATATGGCACTATCAATTCGTTCACTCGTGCTATTAAAAAAAATGCTTGCACGTTTGCATTTGCACGAACGTTCAAAACGAGCCTGTGATCGGCCTAGGATCTGATTTGAAAATGTAACCGCGTTCAGCGAATAGGATCGGCAGAAAGGATACTTCTAACACACGAAAACATGTTTATTGAAAGATTGTCAAATCGGTTGAGAAACAAGAGAAATTAGACAGCGAACCCTCTATTCAGGTACATTGTTATTAGGCTGACTAGGTTCTTTTAGTCTTTCCATCAGATTACCAATCGATAGCATTGGGTTTCACTTATGTCCGAGGTGTCGTGACCCATATTACCTCACTTTACTTTATCTTCATAAAACGTAATTTGCTTTTAGTTTGTTTCGGTAAAGAGGAGAAAAAATTGACCGCTTCTTTACTTCTAGATGAGTCCATCTTCTGTCAAATAAAATACTCAACGAGTCGAACTGCGGAAATTTCCTCCGGAAAATTTTTTCCGCTGTCATTCCGCTGACATTTCCGGTGTCGCAAGTCTTATAACATGAATTTTTCAAATCTTTTCTTTGTTACATTGAAGTGAAGTGTCCATGAAAAAAAAAAACAACATTTTATGTATTCAGAACTATTTGTTGTACATTATCTAATAGCCATGTTTGAGTCGGTATCAACTAGGGAACACGCTTTGCATAAAATAAACGACTACTTTCTCTTACTGAGCTAACTTCATTCATGGCTAAAGTTATGCTTCAACTCTTGTGAACCGATAAGTGGATACTACCCATCAACATTATGGCAATACGCTGACATAGCTCTCCGCACTCTTTGATCGAGCTGGACATCAGTATGCATACTGAGCCTATTTTGCGTTGAAGGGCTGCTAGCGTACTGCAAAATCATTCGATGCGCTGTAGGATCAATGGCGACCGTTAGCTCATCGTGGAAGAGTAGCGGCGGATTAGCGACAATTGTTAAACCGATGCACAATTTCGCTTTCATGTAACAATATATCAGCTTATAAGCATGATCCGACAGATCGGTGAGACATCGCCGTTCGACGATCGCATCCGCTGAGGTCGGTGTCTACCATCTCGTTTCCTCCATTCCATATATCAGGCCGTTTTGCTGAGGTTTGTTCCTGATCTCGAAGGTATACTGTCCCGCTTGGAACGCTTAGCTTTCGAACCCAACATGCTAAATGTTCGAGTCGAAGCCGTTGACCGACTGCATCCGGGTGCCCTGTATTGAATAGCCTTGCTTTATCTGTTGAGTCCGTATTTCATACAAACCACAATGATCATTGGTACATATCAGGATAACAACAATAGAAACCAGATGTGAGTTTTGTGGAATCAAAAAGCAAGGTTTAAGCGTAAGCCCTGCGCGTCAGATAGTCGGGAACGTAGCAGAAATAGGAACACTCCTCCGGGAAAATCGTTTCTCCCGACAAAACTGTGCCGTCCTCAGTAAGAAGCTTGGTATCAACAAACACTTTCGGCTAGGCATTGAGTTGCTTCTTACGGTGCAATATATATACCGATTTTGTAATTCATCATTATTATAATAATAGTTACCTCCCTTGTACGAAGTAATGCTAAATTACCCTATCCGGTACCGGTACGGACAATCCTATACGTATTTCGTGATACCGTTCTGGGCTTCAAGAGAAGCCTTAGTTTCGGCAGCGTCAGAACGTTCCATCGATCAGCACGGATCTCAACAATCTCTAGACAGATTCTATTTCTAACACCGACATGCGTTAAGCTGTTGTTAACTAAGATAAATGATATGCTATATTTATATATATTTGCTAACTTGAGACCGGCTAGATACTCTGTACGAAATGGTATCCTGCTAAAATATATTAGTTCTTCACTTTTAAAGCTTACGTGTTTTGTTTCTGCTGAGCTGACGAAGTCGGATACGCAAAAAAAAAAAAAGCTATAGAAACAGGGTCTAATAAAAAAACGTCCAGAAGCTACCAAACCTATAACAATGAGTCAGATATATGAGTCGTCGATAAGGTTTTTCTTCATCCTACTTACGGATCACATTGAGAGACTTCGAAGTTGCAAATTCGCTATTTGACTGATATGTGGTTGAAGTTAGTCATTTGAGTAGTTCTTATCCGATTCCAGATGCAATTTACTTAGACATGGTCAAAGTGGTACTTACGAACAATGTAATTACTCTATTATCTTTCTATAAAAGCAAAGGTCATACAAAATAAACACTTGCGACAATTCTATTTCCTGGCGTGGCTTCGTTATGTGTGAAAACAGTCATAAATACTTATGACTGATAGAGCAATGTTTTAGTTTTATAAATTTGCTCTAGTGAACGTGGACTTCTATCTAGAAAAATAATCCGACGTTTGGGCATGCGGGTCCGTTTAGAATTAAGAGCATTGTAAGAACTACGAATATGCGCAGCAAGCGTCATTAACTACTGGCATATGGGTAATTTGCTTTTCCTGATCTATGTTTCCGCAAAACAAAGCTTCGAAACGGAAAAAACTAGATAGACCATAAGCAGGTGGAGCTCTGAGAATAATGTGTATTTAGATCGCGAAACCAGCTTCAAACTACGCTTCAAGGCTGGACATAGATTAGGTACACTAAACGTGCACTAAGTAGGCCACCGAGTGACCCCCTATTCTAGGCAGAACACTCCACGATCTGGAATTTTTTAACTTCCAATTGTTGAATCGGTTTATCGTATCGCCATATCGTTTACTCGATATGGATACGATTATACTTACATGTAGAGACAGCAAAAACATTGGTCACACCGTAGATAAATAATTTTAATGACAGTGCTATTTGACGAGAAATTGTAGTTCCGAAACTTTACACTTCTATGGTATATATACTATAATATAAATATATACATATGTATAAAACGGTCAGGGGACTTTTGCCATATGCTGTACTTGCGGTAGCTAAAGACGGATACCTGAAAATAAATAGTAAAGATCAACTTAACCATTGCAGCTAATTTTACATTGAAACATTACTTAAATACAAATTTCAGCTGGAACCCTTTCGAAGGGTTTCGAACACAATACATTCATTCGCAATATTAAACCTAATTATTTCTAGTATGAAAAGTGTTTTATGTATATACATATATATATATATATATATAGATATATATATATATATATATATATAACCGCGTAGAAATGGAAACAGCGAATCTACGCCACGCTGTTCATACGAGATTCTTGTTTATGTTGTCCAGGGTAGAGGGCGTTGTCGGCATAGGGTAGGCGATTGTATGGAAAGAGCTGCGTTTGCGGCCAGCGATTATAATGCGGGAACTGCGTCGGGCTTTCCCCGTGGGGCTATAAAAGCTGCGCTCTGTTGTTAGTCTGAGGCAGGTGTTACTTCTGTCAGTTTATACAAAATTTACTTACTGAAGTTCGTTATCGGTCGTGAATAATTTTAAATACACAATCGCACGTCGGGCCTTGTGAAGGAATGTCTCCATGGAAAAACGGTGTGTATCGTTCATCTAGTATGGAAACATTGTAAGCTGTGCAGTTTTCATCTAGTTGTACTTATTTATAAATAATTTTAGTAGAAGTAAATCGTGTGAAATCGTCCGTAGAGCATGGTCGAAGGTTATGGCTTTTCAGGACATAATGCGATAACCAATACTGAACACGTCGCATCAACTGTTTGAGAAATAACAGACGCAGAAGTTAGCTGCTTCGAGCTGTTTGGGTTCTTAATCGATTATCGATAAAATCCTCTATAAGTAAAAAGGAAACGTAAAATGTTTGAAATGGAGCAGTGAAAATATCTATTTAGCTCAAGGACATAATTTTTTTCCGCTTATCGATATGATGACAACTCACCACTTATTAAACCGGGGCTTTTCTGGTGCAGAAAGCAACATCAAACACGCAAGATTTAAAATATCGTTTTTGCTGCGAAGTCGGCTTTTCGTGTTTCTAAAAACAAGATGCACGTTAAAGCTACAATACTACGGAAGCTACGATAGTTTTTTTTTTTTATGACAGTAACTAGCTAAAGTTACCACCCACCCACCTACCTTATCCTGAAGAAGTTTTGGTACTTACCTAACGCCAGTCGGTTAGCTTAATTTTCACTCTCTGCTATCCTGTGTAATAATAAAACTAGCGAAATTTTTGTAGAACGTGACCGATTATTGAAAACGTATCTCCTCTTGTTTAGCGCGATCGAATATTTATTAATTAGATCCTAGAACATTGTCAAGTACTCGGTCTAACGAGATCCTGAAAAACCCGTGTTTTCGCTGTAAATTTACAATGATTTTTTAGGCGATGTAAAATGGAGAGAAGTGCGTTTATTCAACAACAGCCGCGACTTTCGCCTACAAATTTTATCGCTAAAAACTCTACGAGCTATGAACTCCAGTTTACTAAAGCTTCAGGTCCAAAGTAAGTGTATTGCATCGTAAAAGTTAAAAGAATTGTTTGCGATAAGCAAATGATTTTTGGAAATGGGGTCTGCGTGGCCTTTCGTCTTCAAGCTGGGGGTGAGCAATGGGCTCGAATCAGTTGCGTCGTAGTCTTATGTGGCTGGGCTATCGTTACAAAAGAACACGGTTGGCTAAAGAAGGCATTTAGGCTCTGGTCCATTAATCCTTTCAAAGCAATACAACGGCCTATCCAAAAGCTGTAACAAAGCTATAGGTACCTTACAGAAAAGCGACGAAACGAACGAATCCTTTGTAAGGGAATTGTAGCAAAATGCTTCACCCTCATTAGCTGCCACATTATTAGGTAGCACGCGTACCTACAGGAAGGTCCTTTGAGACTCCAGGTTTAGAAAAAGTTTGTAGTCCAATAAAAAGTAATTTGTTTCAATTCATATAATTATTTTAACTAATTTAATTAAAATTACTTAAGAAGCTTAATTACTTACGATAAACAAAAAGCAAAACTTATCGAAAGTTACGGGAAACAGTATGCATGCGCTTTACCAGTGTATCTGGAAGTTTTTAATATGTAATATTCATGAAGTCTTAATATGTAATATTCATTTGTGTACGGAACCCTGTGATGGCTCGTTGCTAGGAACTGTAGTTTCTCACAGGCCTGGGTATTTCGTTTAGTACCTTAACGATATAGTCTCCCAGAGTGCATCAGTTTGTCTGCCGAAAATATACGCCATTTCAAGTGTCACTTAAAGGTGTGAATTATCAATAAAAGAGCATAGCCTAATAAGCGTAATTTTAAAGGCGTGAAATTAAAAAGTGAGTATGTAACATACATGCACATAACACGAACTATATATATATATACATATATATATATATATATATATATATATACGGGGTATATTCCTGCCTTAACCCTAAAAATAATAGGTTTAAAAACCTTTTAAATTAAAAAACACAGTAGAATTTTCCATATTTAGTTAGTTGTTAGCAAAGTGCGGAATGGCCTCTTAAGTTGAAGACGGTACATGCAACATTGGTTAGCTTTTAGTAAGAGAGACTAATATAGTCTCTCTCACTAAAAGCTTTCCCAGCGGATTCAGACCAAAAAATGATATTAACGCAAGCCCGACTCGGCCGGTTTGTATGGATTACGTGCTGATTCTGTTACAATAGCAGAATTGCTATTGCTTGTTGCGTTCTTCATTGATTGTGGGCGGGAGCAAAATAACACCATTGTAAACTATCCATGCGAAGGCTTGTTATATTCGCCCCCTTAGTCAAAGCAGGCTCTCTTTTAACCACATTGGTAGGAAAACGTAACCCATGTTTTCAGCTTACGTGTGGTGTAGTGGAAACGTGTTTGACGAACCTACTTTCCAACGTATTCTCCGTCGGAGAATACGTTGGAAAGTAGGTTCGATGCTGGAACAGATGATGAACTTCGTTTTGTGCATCGAAGGAGCTAGCCATCGTTTTCCGCCTCCTCTACACGTAGTTTTTTATGGGCAACCTCATTTTTACAGTTAGAATCGTTTGTTGCCGTCAGTCAAGGGAGAGGTGGAAATAGCTACGTTCGTTTATTAAACACTGTTAGCTAATAGATTAGAGCTCAAAGAGTTAGCCGAGGAATCATCGGTAAATGGTTATCTGTGCCAGTACAATTGGATGGCCCACAAGAGTCAAATTAGGGTTAAAAAACCTTGAAAGCAGCAATCTTGAGGTGTTCGACACCGGCTGATTGGCATTATTTCGTTGGGGGGCGAGTAAGACTTGGTCCCGGCTTCATTTGGCATGTAGGTAATGTAGGTAGATGTAGAAAATTCGCTAATTGGCAGTCTGGTCTCAATGTGAAATTCTAATTTCTAATTACTGTTCGATGAAACTGAAACATACGGGTAACCGCACTCTCAAAAAAATATTAGTTTTAAATTGTTTAGCTGGATAACAACAACAACAACAACAACAATAATAATAACATAACACTATGCACATTTTAATTACGTATGGTGGTGCCTAACCCGTCGACAAGTCTCGAAATTCGACATGGTTATATCGTAATGGCAGGCCCTAGAGGAGTAAAATCCAATGATAATATGATGAACTTTCAGCCTTGATTTAATGGTACAGTTCCACGGCGATGTACAGCTTCACCTCGCTTTGATTGAAGACTTCCTCGAACAACATGACGGAGTAAGGTACGATTACTACATTCTGTCTAACATAATATCTGTCAATGGCAGTTGTGGACGAGAAACATGAAGCATCTATTTGCATATGTACCAGTCTGTCTTGGTGTTGGTAGCATGTCTACCTCGTAACTTTGATACGCGAAGTGGTCGAAGTTTAAAACCAGCCGTAGACGCACTTCGAATCGTGCTTCACGGGAATAGAACTGGAAGTAAAAAAACGTTTCTATCTATCAGCCTCTTTTTCGACGTATTTTAAAGAGGTAGCTTAAAGACAAGCAACTGGTATAAAGACTAGCACTATTAGTGGTTCGTTCCTCTGCAATCGTTTTTATCTTTGATGATTTCTAACATAATTCAAGAGTACTCAAATTCAGTTAACATCATTCTTCATTTTTACTCGTACAATGAATCAGGTCTGCTACACTTCGCGAAGTCGCTCGTAAACCCGAACCAAAATTTTATGAAGATTCAACTTACGTTGTAAGTTTTAATTTTTAGATTACTTAAACTACTAATAAAGTAAAGTAAAATAATATTACCTCCAAAAAACAAACGTTTGTTCCGTTTGAGAAGATCAGTTTTACTCGAATTGTTCATACGAGTGAACAGATAGTCGAATCAAGCCAGCTACGATACTGCCTTATGCTTGCTTACAGACTTTGTCTTTCCATCTGTTTAACAGGTATTGTACCGCGTTCAATTGGAATGTTGCAATTTCACGCCAGAACAATGTCGTCGGCGGCTTCTCGAGCGGTGGTGCGCGGAAGTACCCCTCTGGGCTCAGCTATCAAACCCCCCAGCGCCACTTTCCGGGGGTGCGGTCGCTGTTAGTTGGGAACGATCTCACGAGGTGCAATTATGTCATCTTTCGATCGGAAACCTCGTCGGTAAGATCACTTAGATACTTATCGCATATGACTATTTTTTTTAATTAAATAGTTAAAACATAACAGTTGTTTTTTATAACTATTTATTTTTAATAACTTAGGATTCACAAATATCGAATGATGATGGTAAGTATGGACTGGTAAATGATACTGCAAGTTTCATTCAGGTCTGTGCTATTTGTTATCGTATAACGCATACGTGCACCCTGTTTACACTACACATCGGATTCAATTGAAACGCGAAAAATCTACGTTTAGCTAAATGTTGTAGTAACTGATTATGGAATATCCACTTCTTCCCTCAGAAAAGCGCTCTGCTCTATTTTCAGCATAGCTTTTAGAGCAAACGTCCGACTTCCGAGTCCCTGACGAATCTCGGATTGAGCTCTGCTAGCCGAAACGCAGCGTAGACTTTATACATTTATTTTTTTAATAAAAATCTTATTACTATATAGCATGAAACCAGCAGTGCGAACTTCTCCTCTATTTAGCGTATACTTATTTGTTTTCCTAATAGGAAGTTCGTTGTATCTAGAACACCATCGGCTGAGTGGCCTCTCGAGTGTCGTCTGGGACCATTGCTCACAGGTGCTATCAGCTTTTGTGGAACGACCAGGCGTTGGTGTCCTTCGTCTGTCTGTACGTTACAGTCAAATCAGGCATCTTCTCGTTACCTTCCAGGATCGAAACCATGCCCATATATTGCTTCATCTGCATACGGTATGTTTGCATACGGTATGTTGTACAGCTTCTGTAGGTGGATTTGGAGAAGGAAAATGACATGACGAGTGGTGGGCCCATGATCAATGACTGCCTTTTTTCTATCGTAGGTCGCCTTGGTGTCCTTCGTCGACAGCACACAACTAGAAGCGCAAATGTCCATTGGGGAAGTCAGTTTAGAGGACGTGACAGCGTATCAACGAAAACACGATCTCGATTCCATCGACGCGTGCTTTCCATCAACGAGCGAATTTGGTGCTTGTCTCACGCTCAACCTCATGGCTCGCGCCGGTAGTGAAACGGCTAGTATCCATCCACCTTTTTGTCGCTAGAGATTTTTTTGGCGCTAATATCGTGAGCCATTGAACATTCCTTTGCTTGTACATAGAGCTGCAGATTGGCTGGGAACGCATTTAGATGGTGCTATTACAATAGCGTGCGCTGCTTGCTTTAGATTAGGTATGTTAACCTGGCTTTATTTCGGTCGGTATTATTACGTTGTGTAGCTGTCGAAGCTGTTTAATCGGGTTGGCCGGAAAGTGGGTCACTACGGTGAGGTTGCCTATTGCCGGGTCGAACGGCGTCTGCTGCCGTCGGCGGAGCGGATTCGTCTTTATACTACCCGAGATGCCTTTGTGCAGCTTCTGGCCACGTTCGAGATTAAGTACGCGGTGTCCGCCGTCTTCTCCTGGAGCGATGAAGTGAGAAAACACAGCTGGGCTGGTTGTCCTGTCTAGAGATAAAAAAGTGTCCTGTCTAGAGATAAAAAAGTTTTAGGATCTTCTGACTAATGACAAACCGTTAATGACGACGAACCACAGTTAAACACTGCAGTCGAATATAACACAACAAAATTCAAACATTTGGCTTAACCGCGTTCTTCCTCGCCAGGTGATAGATCAACTATATGCATACGGAAGAGTCCGTGAAGTGTTAGAGCAAATTCGTAAATTGGAGGCGGTGAGTCCCCGAGCTCTCGGACTAGCATTGCGGGATATTTGTACCTCTCTGGAGAACGGTGCGATCGTTGATTTTGATTCAGCGCTTCAGTTACAATTTGAATTCCATGACGCGAATGAAGGCCCGGTACCTGGAATGACAGGTGAGCACATCGAGGATACCAATTGCCAATTGCAAAGATTGCCAAAGGCTTTAGCAACGCAATTCCGCTTAGGGGAAAAAAGGCTCTGTTCAGATAAATATGCAGTAATTGCTCTTGTTACCGAGCTTAGGTAGTTAAAGGGGGCAATGTTTAGGCTAGGCTAGGCTAGGCTAGGCCTAATTCTAATGGGTTTTCTACGGACTATTAGATTGCTGATCATCGTACAATCTCCATTTTAGTGGCGGGCACGGTGTATGTTCGTCGAGTATTCGTTACGCCGACAAGGCTAATCCTTCGCTTCCCAAACCTTCACACACAGAATCGTATCCTACGCCATTTTGACTCGGAATTCGCGATTCGAGTCTCGTTTCGTGACGACAACTTAGACAAACTAACGTTTTCGGTTCTATCTATGCGTGACAAATTGCAATTTCTCAATCATGTTGTTGGTAGCCATATACGTAATGGTATTACGGTAAGTTCACAGATTAGTCTGGATAAATATTATACTATACCGATCAAAACAGATCAGGCGTTCTGCTTCGTTTTTTAGCGGCAAATGTTTAATGATCAGCGCAATATGTCGACGATGACTTCATTACCGTTTGCCTCAATATGTTTTCACCCAAATATTAAAGGGTAACGGCCAAGCGACTCCCGCGTCCGTCTTATACACGTTATGAATAGCAATTCAGAAACTAGTTGGCGGGAGAAGCATGATGATGATGATGAACATTTCCGGATCTTCAAGTACTCGCCCGTTTGTCGGGTCGGACAGCGTTACAACTAAGGGTGGCTAGTTCATGTAGTGTGTAATTAACATATTCGACAGTCAGTGCTCATATACGAGTCTGTGCAGCAGAAGTGCAGCGGAGACCATAGACAGACAGAAGCGAGGCAGACTGTGGACAGAATCGCAGCGGGTATATCGTTGCATATGTTATACACATCTAAATAATTGTCTCTTGGACATCAGATTGGCGGGCGGAGATACATGTACGTGGCGGCTTCTTCGTCACAGCTGCGCGATCACGGCGTATGGTTCTACGCGTCCGATCTGGCCGGCTTCGATGCAGCTTCGATTCGCCAATGGATGGGCGACTTCAGCAATATCAGCAACGTGGCTACTCGGGTCGCACGAATGGGACAGTGTTTCTCGTCGACCCAGGAGACTGTCGAAGTGCCCCCAGCCGAGGAGCTGCATGAGGACGACATATGGCATCCGGACAGTGTACATCCTATTTCGCAACAGCCATATTGCTTTTCGGATGGGTGTGGGAAGATATCGCCGGAGCTGTTGCAGGAAGTGTGGAATAGTCTTCCTCATATCACGGCACAACGACCTTCAGCATTGCAAATCCGCTACAGGTATCGTCGTAGCAAGCACGCTACCTGTCGGTAACTAATTGGACTTTGCGGGGGTTCTATCCAGGACTTGGCTTGACTAGACTAACATGTTACGTTAGAGCACCAGCTCGAAACATTTAATATTAGGTCGTTCAGTACGAAATGTGACAAACATTGATCTGTCGTTGATGGAAAATGATGATGATGATGCCACTTTATAAACGGTGCGATAATTTTGCCGGCGGTTTGGTCACTCGAGATACACTTGGTCTCTTATCTCTAATCTAGTTAAAATCAGATCGCTCACTCGGATAGCTTTGCCCCGGCCTTTAGCGGGTGAGGTGAAGTGAGCCGTAAAAAAAAGTCAGTTACGGATACGACGATATTACAGCGCCAGAGTGTAAGTCTTGTGTGCTCGATTCTATTATTATTAACACAGCGCGAATAGTTGATCTAGAAAGTTCAGGGAAAAAAAAAGAAAAAATTATATGAATTTCGTCGAGGACCCCTTGCGCAGGTAAATAAAGACAAGTCAAGCTCTGTGCTAGAAGCCGACAAATCGCAATGTCCTCGGATTTTGGTGTATGTAACAATACGACACTTGTTCACCTCGGTCAAATAACAAATAGGCTAAAAAACAAAAAAAAAAAAAAAAAAAAAAACCAATTGGAGAAATAGGTGCCGCACGATTTGAGCAAGGATCAAAAGCATAAACATAGAGACCGTTGTTTGTTTTTGCTCTCACGTTACAACAGTGACCCATTAATCCATCCACAAACTTGCCACTTGTGATGAAAAATTGGTCTTCTACAATGGTCGCAGACGATCACGTCAGCGGGCGGATGGGCAACAGAACCGACGGAACATCATCCCGAAGCAGACGTGCAACAAATGCAACGTGTGTTGATGATTTTAACACAGGTGCATCCGCCGCTACAGCTTCACGGGTCCTGCTATTTGGATTTCAGCTGAATGTACTATCAACAATTGGCGAAGATGATGAAAAAAACAGCGCATTAAACAGCGAAAATTAGTAAACCGAGGTAAACTACTTCTATTGTACGAGAACGCTCGATTTCACACCGCAAGGGTCACGGACGTAAAAAGGCTCCATCATAATTCCCCAATTTCTGAAAAAAAATTCACCATAATAACGTTTCTACAGCTACAGCAGCCAGATACACACACACACACACACACACACACACACCAAATAGCAGGAGATTTGTATTTACATGTCACGTTTCATACTGAACAGCCTAATACTGACAATAATAATACAGTCTGCAGCGACCAGAATTGTTGATGAAAAGGTCCGATCAATAGATAATATTTAAAACAAGAAGGCCTGTACGTTCTGTTAGTTATTTTCATCTATTGCAGAGGCTGTAAGGGGATGGTGTGTCTTGACCCAAGGCTACAGGGACGCCAGCTGGTCCTGCGTCGATCAATGGTTAAGTTCGAGTGTCTGTCGAATAGAAAACTTGAAGTGATTAAATGGTCGGCACCGATGAATATGTTCCTCAATAGACCTTTAATTGCCATTCTTGAACATCATGGCATTAAAGCTGACGTGAGTTCACGATGATATCACCTATTAATAGGCTGGCCTATACAAAATTTTATTTTATTTTTAATATTAATTCTGTTTCCCGCTACAAAGGGCACTAGCATCGTTGTAACAAAACAATACCTGATCCAGCTGAGAGAACTCATATTTCCTGTACCTGACACTCACATGCAGCACACTATGCAAAATGCTCAGTGTCAACAGTCACCGGCGATGTGGTGTATGGTAATAGGTAGTGGTTCTGTGCATCCTCGAAATTAGATCCTGGAGTCTCAGTTGTGCTCATTCCATTTTCAGGTATTCGTTCGATTAGAGCTGGAAATGATTATCGCAATGGCAGACTCCTTAGTGTGCGAAGCGTCCGCTTTAAGGGTTCTTACGAACTTCGTCAAGACGCCTATTCCGTTCGGCGGCCTCGCGGAAATGGGCTGGCAGTTAGTCCACGACCCATTTTTCACAGCGATGCTTTTCGACCTACTCAAAACAGCTCTGTTAGGCCTCAAAGACAAGGCTAATATTGCTATTCCAGCAAATGAAGGACGAAACATGCTTGGTGTTGTAGACGAAACGGGCATACTTGAATATGGGCAGGTGTTCATTCAGTATACTGAGATACCCTACATTGATGTAAGTTTTCCAAAAAAAAAGCCTTAAAAACTAAGCATTCTCTAGGGCATTGCTATTCGAATATGAGCAGGTGTCCCTACAGTGTACAGAGATACCCTATATTCGTTCTTTCGTAACCTGCTCTACCTTTCTACTATCTCTATTAACCTAGCGAGAAGTAATCTTTTAACAATTCCGTTTGACAAGAATAGCTTTTAGCTAAACATCATATGACTTTCGCTGCCTAGATCGCTGCAGCTCGTTCGTGCATTGTAAAGGGAGACGTTGTCATTACGAAGTGTCCTTGTCTACATCCTGGCGACGTACGTCATCTAGTTGCTGTGGACGTGCCGGAGCTTCGCCATATACGCGACTGTGTCGTGTTTCCGTCCCGCGGGAAGGCGCCGCATCCATTCGAGATGTCAGGCTCAGATCTCGATGGTGATGAGTACATTTGCATTTGGAAACCTGAGCTTATCTTCACGAATAACGTCGAACCTCACTTGTACGAAGACAAGTCGACTCATGGCGGTGCTGCGTTCCAGCGGCCGGTGCATGAAGTCAGCTTTCTGTGCAGCTACATCGCTAACGATATGATCGGGATCATATCTAACGCCCATCTTGCCTGGGCAGATCAAAGCGGTCTTTTATCTGATATGTGTTTGGCTCTTGTCGACAAAGCGTCGAAGGCATTGGATTTCGCCAAAACTGGACAGTCGGTCGATTTACACCCAAATGAGAAGCCAGGGAAGTTCCCCGATTTTATGGAAAAAGGCGACCACAAACACTCGTACCAATCTAACAAGGCGCTCGGTATTCTCTACCGAACCGTGCGACAAATTATGTCAGTGAACAATACGCGACTCAGTCAAGGCCAGCGCTTTGTGCCGTTAGAGGTTCCCGGTTGGCAAATGTTTCGAGAAAGTGCAATTGTAGCTGTTCAAAGATATAATAAAAGATTGGCGGACATTATGGAGCAGCATGGTATTATGTCCGAGGGTGAGGTTTTCAGCGGCCGTATCGGTACACTCAACACCTTTGACACGGTCTGTTTTTAGGTATCTTATCGTTATAGTATAGAAAATGTATTATTGATCCGTGAGGATCAGTTGTTTTTCCTTGTTCTCTTCGAATATCTTGCTTGTAAGATGTTTAACTAAACAATGTTAGGAAACTAAGCCAGGCTTTAAGATAAGGGTTGTTGAAACCAAACTATTGCGATCTTGGTACGATTGGTATCTTTAAATGAACGCTGTTAATTTTAATAATTAGTCTCGACAAGAAAAGGCGTCAGTGGCACAATTAGTCGAACGACAAAAGGCATCTCTAATGGAAGACACTCGCGAGTTGTTCACAGCCGAGCTCGAAGAGGACTGGGCATTGCTGGAGGCGCGCGGAGCAGAGCAGCGTCGAATGCTACGGCTGCAGAAAGCGTCGGCGTGGTTTATGGCCGCTTACGTACTTCAGCAACAACAACAACAACAACAACAACAACAAAGCCCCGAAGCGACACCGGGTACCAGATCCTTCTACTCGTTCCCATGGTGTATAGCGCACGTGATCCTTGAGGCGAAATGTTGGTTACAGCAGACATTTCCCTGTGCGTGATATGCTTTCTTACATTCACGGTACCTTTTTCGAGTCAGTATTTCTATACGTATATTTTTTTTTTTATATCTAACATAAGAGCATGGGCGTGGATTCGGCAGTCAGCGTCTCTTTCTTGTCTGGTCGACAGCAATGCGGACTGTACATGAACTCAGCGAAAGCAGGGATAACATTTTGGTACGAGTTGTTGATGAGCGATTAGGTCTACTTTCGGCCGTGACGTCCCACCAGCGGGTCCGAGCACATCTCACCGAGTGGCTGTCTCAATTATGGCGACGACAATCAGAGCCACTAGCGCAGAACACCATCGAGTCGATTCGGAACGATGGCGTCGTAGATTCCATTGGAGGGACATCAGGCAAATCGGTATGCGCCGACTGCTTTGGCCAAATCTACAATAGTTTTGCTGAGACTGTGGCTCTGCCAAGGCAGTTGATGAGCGTTGGTGAATACCTGGTAGCGTTCCTTGAATTTGTGGCATGTGGAAGGTGTGAATATCCAACATCTTGTCCGAATTCGTCGTGCACGCGACTTTTTTCAAGCGATTGTCCTCTGCTCACTGTTGAGGCTTCGAAGGTCTATGTCCGTTTTGCAATAGACAAGGATCCGTGCTTCTTGGGCCTGCCATGTGTACAGGGCGTCCATCGAGTCAACAATGTCATCGTTGATGGTAAGCCTTCGAACATGTATTATTAATTGGGGCAAGAAAACCTTTCGCGCATTGCACGTAAATCGCATGGCTCGTATGACTTTGTTGCTGCCGTAGCTCATGTCCATATGTCTTAAATTTGTTACAACTGTATCCTTCAAGCGCCTGCCGAGAAAGTAAACATTTCGGAGAAGTTCTTTCAATTTCTGGCCGAAGACGGAGGTCGTGCATGCTCGAAGCTGTTGTCTTGCTGGACGGGCGTTCAACACATTAGCATTCGAATGTATCATCGACACCAGCCCACTACGCATTCACGAGGCCGAGCTGCTAAGGGACAGCAAATAGGGAATTCCGTCAAAGAAGATGGTCGGGGCCATACGCTGCTTGGCGGGGCATGTTGTAGTATGAAGGTTCATTATTGCGGGACAGATGCGCAGATATTTGCTATGCAACAGGTGTTGCGTAGTGACAATCTCGAGACAGCGCTCATCGAAAAAAAACCCGAACTACTGAACAAAGAGGAGCTCAAGTTAGCAGTTATTGGCTTAGGTAAGTTTTACCGGAGGGTTGGACATAGTTAGCTTATATAATAATAATTGATATATATCAATACGATGGTATGAGGCTATGAGGTATACGTAATACATAGTCTATACATAGAGCCAGACGTCTTTTGTTGCAATCGTATGATTTTCTCTAATCTAGTCTGTGCCGGACGCCGTCTTTTGTTGCAATCGTATGATTTTCTCTAATCTAGTCTGTGCCGGACGCACTACCTTTATCCTCTATGCAAGCATCTTTGATTAAGCTCACTGTAGCAAACTCCTTTTACTTTCTTCCAGGTAATTGATAGCTTAAATGCTTCCAGCAATAATCGGAAGCATCCAAGTGACCTGTTTTGTGACCACGGTACCCTCTCATACAACGCGCAAATCGGGATGTTCCTATGTTATTCTATGGATAAATCTTTTTTTTTTCGCTCACCCATATCCCGCACCGTTCCTAGGCTTTGCTGTCAACGCTGCACAGCGTCTGCATCTGACCATGAATTCAATTACATTAAAGGTCGTTATGTCACGGAACCGCTTTTATCTGGTAGACAATGTCGAAAAATGCACTGGTCTTTGGACATTTCAATGCGGATCTTTCCATTTAGGGTCGGCTTTCCCTCTTTGTGAACTGTTGCTTGTTTGGGTAAAAGGTCGCCCCGTGTTGGCCACCCATTGCGCTACGCGAAACTGTTTGGCGGATCCGCACTCTTCGGCCGCAGCGCTACCATGCATCATCATAGACACATCAGAGAGAAGACGTTCGAGCTCGAGACAAATGGCGCGTAAACAGTAACACCTGCTGTGTTTCAAGTGACAGTGACTGCTAAGGATGGCTGAATCTGACCTGGTGAGTGAAATCTGCCCTTCGGTATTTTGGTATAGTTTGTCAAAGACCAAACCGACGAACTGGTTACCGTTCGTTACTAAGTGCCTTATTTTGTGCAGGCGATGCAATTGTTGACGCGGCTCCAATTAAAGTAAAAAAACTGGATCAAAGTAAAAAATGGATGACAAGTTTTTTTTTATAGGTAACTGCCGTGGAGAATTTGGAAGATTTCCTATCAGGCCCATTAGAAGGCGGGCTTCGTTTAGATGGAGGAAGCTTAAACTGCAAATCGAAGGTAACGAAGTTCGACCGATCAATCGTGGTATAGGGTAACTGGCTTCCTATCCATAAACTATCAAAAACATCATATTCCCAAATATTTAATAGAACACAGTCTTAGTAAGGTTTAGTTTAAGATGGTGCCAACCTACCAAGTCGTGCATTACATAGTTATTGCAGGTCAGATTATTGTATCATTATTAGCAAAAGCTATTCAAAGCATAACAGTAAACAGACTGATCAAGGAGATTGAAAATGGGGCACTATCGGAGACGCAATATAGATTTAGGGAAACATGTTCGATACTAACAGCTGTGGACAGGGTCCTCGGGATAGCGAGGGAGGAGACGAGCAGCACACTGGAGACCCGGAACTTCGTGTTGCTAATCCTACTAGATATTAGAAATGCTTTTAATAACTAGATATATTACAAATGCTTTTAATAGCATGAACTGGGGAAAATTGATGGAAGCACTGGAACGAAAGAGCATCTCTTATGTTTGCGCAGGATCATCAATTCATACATAGCGGATGGGACACTGCAGGAGTCCCGCAGAGGTCTGTCCTCGGTCCAACACTATGGAATTTAAGCTACGACGGCGTTCTGTAAATAACGGGTCTACCGGAGGGGGGTAGAGACTATAGCATATGCAGATGACCTGGCTCTGATAATCAGAGCCCGGACAGAGGTGGAATTAGAGAGAACAAGGCTAACGACTCCCTCCAACTCAAAGAACGATGGATGAAAGAACATCTATGGCTAGCCAGAAGCAATATACCTAACTGGAAAAAAAGAAGACCACAGATTTTTGGGTTATACCTTGGGAGTAATGATTGACACTGCAATGACTAGAAGAGCGACATATTAAACATGCAGCTACAAAGGCAGAAAGTCAATTTGTCGCGAATACTGCCCAGAGTAGGAGGTGCCTCTGGTAGCCGAAGATTACTGGCTAGCCGAAGATTACTGGCATTAGTAGCCGAGGCTAGAGCGCTATAGGCAGCCCCTGTATGAGCAGAAATGGCGCTGAAGACCAAAAGACAAACGAGATATATTGCTGGCTGCTCAAAGAATAGTCGCAATACGTGTGGCCAGAGCGTACAGAACCGTGTCAACCGAAGCACTTCTAGTACTGGCCAAAATGGTCCCATGGGATTTGCTTGCCATAGGAGCCGAACGACGACAACATAATGGCCCGTGAGGCCACGTTGAACAAATGCCAACAGCAGTGGGAAAGTCTCCGCACTAACGGCCGAGGAGAATCTCCGGGCAGTTGGACTCGACATCTAATACCAGATGTAAGGAAATGGATGCGCGGCAGTCACGGAGAGCTAATATAGCATTCCTGCCAAGTCTTGTCGGGTCATGGACAGTTGCAGACATATATGACAAAGATCGGCAAGACGCAAGTGGACATCTGTGTACGGGTGTCGGGCACGAACGACACTCTTCTTCACTGCCAGTCAGGCACTGTGGTCAGAGATAAGTCGCAGCAAAGGGCAGCGCTAAGGAAATGGTGGAAATGATGACAAAAGACAGGATGACCTGAGCTAAAGTTACGGCCTTCTTTGATGATATTATGAAAAATTCCAACTTGAAAGGATCACACGTAAGAGAATAGTAGGACAGGCCCGAAACAATCACGGGCCTGAGACACCACAATTGGTATTAACATGGGGTACGGTCCCCCTCGGGACCCAGCGTACCTGGTCAAGAGGAAAGTCAGAATGGAGGATGGACTGGAACGGTTCAAAGGGAACGAAATGCTTGCGTTGAAGTCAGGTTTCGAAGTAATATCAAACACGACCCAAGCTGATAAAGAGGCCCAGGGTCTAGTGGGTGACGATCCCACAGTAGCGGACAAAGCACAATTCAAGTGATAAGTGATGTCTGGACTGCGTAATGCATTTCCCGTTTACCTCCAAAAAAAGGTCAGCCTATTATTACAGATTCACTAAACTATTACACTCAGTATACCGATGTTTAGCTCTGACGAGTTTCTTACTAATATTCAGGTGAAATGCTCGCTATTGACGTCATCATCAGTGTAGTTGGGGGCCTTGATGCGAAGTTCATCGAAGATCTTTTCAAGCTATTGGGTGGTTTGCGTTTACAGAGGTCAGGTTCGTATAATGTAAAGCAGTAGACTAATTATGTACTCTCGTACATGTGGCGATTAACATACACGTGAAATCACGCCAATAAAGACATGGGTTAAAAAGCATCGGTACATATCGTAATCAATAGCCATCGTCTGATTATCTGTCACCTGTGTCAACCCCACCCCTAACACTTATCATCTGTGTCAACGAAAAAATTTAAATACGACGTTTTTCATTTCCTATGATTGTGGTAATATTTTGTTTTTCCGAACCTCCCAGTCACGGGACTGATACACGTGATATAAGATCCAGGACTTCATATTGACTTGAAGCTGCTAAGTGCTGGTCAGGTAATCTTGACCAAACAGCCAAGGACGCTGTTGTGTTCGCTCAGCTGTAGACGCCCGACGATGCCTGTCATAGACTATACGGCTTCACTGTGCCCATTCGAGATCGCCGTACAGTAACTCCGCTCCCTGGACTAACGGCTGCTGATATGGGTCCTAGGATTGGACTAACTGAGTCTACAACGGTTTCGCGTTGCTTGGTCGCCATAATGTCCCTCGCGAGAATTTGTTGCAGAGATCCGTCAAAGCGTCTCGGACCGACCCTTAGGCGTGGTCTCATTGGACCGCGTTGCTATAGTTGGTGTGTTGCAACTCGTTAGTCGGCTGTACGTCGATCGAGGAAATGCCAATTCTTGGGTATCAGATACAGCAATGGCGCGTCGTCCCTTACCGCTGTGCGGCCATTGTTATGAATTACTACTTAGGGTCGTTCATCTCGTTCTCGATCAGTTCGATGATCGGGGATAAATCACCAGCGTTGGCCGATCAGGGCGTAGAACTGCATATTACTACATGCGCTGCGAGGGCGTCTCTGTTGGTACGGGATGCGATTCAGGAGGCTCGAGAGGCATGTGGTGGCCGTACGTTCTTGCGAGCGTCAGGTTTTGGAGCCATTAAAGATCATGACAGAAAATGCACCTACGAGGGACATAATGCCTTCCTCAGCAAACTAGCAATGTACTGCTAGCAGCTGCAGGACTGCAACTATCGAAAAGTTCGCTTCGAGAAGTTCGCTTCTCGATGTAGCTACACTTTGTTTCCGCTGCGCCGAACGAACGGTACACGGACAACGCTAACGTCACTATTAGGTCCACCATTGGCATCTACGAGTGGCTCGTATGGCGTGCGCTAAAGGTCTAGGCAACTTCTACCGGTGATCCTTTCCGCGATAGAAACGAGCCACCAAGTTTTTCTCGCACTTGCCTAGGCCTGCATTGAGGTAGGCATTATTTGACACAGAAGCTACCCATTATTCATATTCAGTTACTAGCTAAATTTATATTGAAAATTTACGCTAACGGTGCCCCTTCCGTTGTGTACCTAGAGCAGCAGACAACTCACTTTTAATGGTTATTGACAACACATCGGGTACAACAGAACAGGTTTGTGGATATAACTATTCTAACTAACTATTGTTACTTTTGTTTTTGGCTTGAGGAGGAAGCAAATTCAACCACCTTATCGTAACCGTTGAGTCTTCGCTGGTTCGTGTTGCACAAAGCAGGTCTTTCTTTGGTCTCTGGAGCCTGGAAAAAAGGTTATCATCAGACCTTTATGCGGGCGGATTCATAACCAGATTCGGTCTTTGTGCGATTCTGAAAGATGAGGCCGTGGGGATTCTGCCCGATTTAGCACTAACTCTGTGCTCGATTACTTGTACGGACAAGCGGCTCGTGACATGTAGGCAGAGAGAGTGGACCAGTGGCACGAGTCCCATGGTGGAGGCAACTCTTAGAAAACCCCACGACGCATGGATACCGGCTAAGCTATAAGAAACTGTAAGAAGCTGTAAAAAAAGTCAAAAGCTTCCTTTACTCGATTGTGGCTTTTTACCTCTTGCTTCAAAAGGTAAAAAGCCACAGTCGAGTAGCGCTAAAGGAGGGAAGGGAGAGAGGAAGGAAAGTAAACGAGTTTTAAGGATTGCCGTCAGTGAGATTGTGCGCGATGGTAATTTTTTTTTACTAGAAAAAAACAGCTTAAGGCTCGTAAGTGTCTGGCGACTCTTCCTTCCTTAAGTTCAAACTGACAAACACTTATTAAAAATAACATCTCATCTTTACCTGTAATTTTGCGAAGAAAGTCGCATCTCGACTCAAAATGCGTTTTATTTAGAAACTATTAATCATTATCACAGTGTGTTGAACTTGAGAGATGCGGACGACTTCATGTCATGTAAGTGTTATATATATATATATAAGTTTATGTACATTTTTTGGCTAGAACATGGAAATTAATAGACAATTTCATTATTTGTACGATAGCTTGCAATACGGTATTACTGTTAATATTATCAGTATGATATTACTCTTATCATCGTTTGTACTGTTGATATAACATAATAAAGGTAAAATGCTTTGATACAGAACATTGGAACTAAGAGACCATTTACTTGTCGAAGCTCCTTCTGGGCATTCTTTTGTATTGTATCTTTTAGTGCACTGCTACGTGTGTGTGTGTGTGTGTGTGTGTGTGTGTCAGAAGATTATTTCCAACCATTTAATAATCTTCACCTGAGCTTAATGTAGTACGGTCTGCAATAAAAAGCCTTAGTTGAATACTCATCGCCTAGAGGATGCGCTGTGTACTGAGCTCAATCATCCCTTGTTAACCTGCAGTTCCTGAATATAGTACAATACAATAAATTATAAAAATAAATATATAGTTATATAATACGGCGGAAAATGTTCGATGATGTATTTGCGTTGTCATTTGGTAAGACAGGGGGAATAATAACAAAGGCGACACACAGTAATACTGTAATACAAAGTATACTGTACACCGATATCTCACAGTGGCAAAGTTAACAACGTCTTCATTTTTGTTAAACGTTATTTATGTTACGATTAGGTATATAAACCCTTGAAGAAGGTTTGGTAAAATCTACTAGCGCGTCCCCTACCTTACTTAACCTTTTCGCCGATTTTCTACATTAGACAGGAAGAGATCAGTCGATGATCGTAACCGAGAAGGCAGCCGACCATATATGTAAACACATTGGCTGATTTAATTGGGATTTTTATTTGTTTAATTGGAACCAATCTAATAGCTTCATAACGATCCACAACGAACGAACCTACCGCGTAGGAGACCGCAAACGGACGGCCATTCAACACAAATTTGTTACTTGTTATTGATGTAGAAATATGTTCGACCAGAATGTTGGAACAGAGGTTTATTTCGTGCTAGATACTGTTCAGGCAGGGCTGGTATATTACTTGGATCTCACTACTGCATTTATATCGCTGGTCCTAATTGTTGCGCAAGCCCGTATATAGCATAGTTCTAGAATAATACTATCTATTAATCATCGTGTATATCTACATGCATGTAAATACCTTGTAATTGGCAGGCCCTCCACCCAACCCTTCCTAGCACACATTGATCTGCTTCTTTCCCTCTAACAAAAAAAAAAAAACACAGGTTTTGATTTCGATATTGAGAGGATCCCAAAGCATGCGATAGTTTGACATACCACATTTTTAATAAATTTCATATAGATTTAATATAAAACATAAATAAATTATTACCCTGTGGTCCTCACAACGAAAAACATTTTTTTGAATCCTGACTAACAACGGGGTCGTTTGAGCAGGACTTCGAAAGATAGAAGTATGACAGCAAGGAGGTCAACACGAAGAGAGCACGTAGTGGCAGGCACAAAACAGGACAAAAAGAGGCTATGACAAGTGGCAGTGGTCCGTCGGTCGACATCGCGAACGGGCGCGAGAGAAAGCAACAATGGACTGCCGCATCTCAGCGATGGCGACTGTTTATTTTGTTAGTTATTCACACGATAAGACGGAGGGAAGAGTGAAGCTGTTCTGTGCGCGAACGAGTCAGTCGTTGACGCTAGCAATGCACCTAGATATATATATATATATATATGTACGCGTTGTGCGATTATGGTTGTGTGTTTGCGTCTGTCCGTCCGTCCGTCCGTGCGTGCGTGCATATTTATGTGCATTACCCTTGAATGTTTGTATGAGAACATCAGAAATTCGAATAACATTGGTGTTGCTGTTTTTCTTTATTCATCCGTTCTGCGCGGTGAGCATTTGTATTGGTAAAGCAGAACGATTCGCGTATCTTGATTGAGGGCTCTACTATGGATGGATGGATGGATGGATGGATAAGAGGCTGGAAAAGCGGGCGGGCGGGCGGGCGGGCGGGGGGGACAGAACAGAAAGAACAGCCAGGCCGTTGTTTGAGTTTGTATTGCCGCCGTGGCTACCGTCGCGATCTATGCCGAAAGCCGACCGACCTTTTCTCGCTTCGTCAACGAATGAACGAGCGAACAACTATACAGCTTGTAGACAGGCACACACGCATGCACATATAAACACGCAGGCAGACGAAGAATCAGGCAGACAGAGCTATACACTCACTACAAGGTTATAGGAGTAAGGACAGCAGCGGCAACGAGGCGACAGCAGTAGCATGTTATTTTAACGGTACGACTAACGCGAGCCGGGCATACACACGTCTCTCAATACACACACACACAACGCCAACAAATACTCGCCCACAAACAAGCCAGAGAGCCATAGAGACGCAGTGAGCAAATGGTAGAATACATAAGGCATCATTCGTCCCAACTCAGAGCAGAGGGCCAAATGACCCCTCTCTGTCGGTCCGCTGTCGTGCTTGCTCATAGATAGCGGTCGGTTGGCTCGAAACGCGAAGCGTCAGAGCGAAAAGGCAGCAGCGGGCACAGCCACAGCAGCGATAGCACTCACAAACAAACAATCGACAGGAACAGGCAGCGGAGGCGGACGATCTGCAAGGGAATAGCAACGGCGTTAGAGAAACAACACGCATACACACATACGGCCAACAAACAACATTGGCGAAACAAAAAATAAATAGATTCAACATCGTGTCGGCGTCATAGAGCACGTTGCGACGACGGAGGGCACACGGTAGACGAGCGGGAGCGACAGCAGCCGCTAGCGGCAACAACAGCAGTAATAGCTACTACCACGACGGCCACTGGCGACAGCGTGAAATAACAAAACTACCAGCGGCAACAATCACAACAACAGTAACAACGTTCATAACGACGACAACGACTGCAGTGCTCCTACTGCCGCCGCCGGTGATAATGATGATCGAACGCCCAGGGAAGGCGTTATCGGAAGAAAACTGATATAAAAGGTGACCCTTCTCATTGTAGAGACAAGATGTGATACTTAACTAGAAGAAAAAAGTGAAAATCGTTTCATGAAGGAAATGACAGGAAAGAAATGGAGACGTACACAAAAGAAGACAGAGGAAAGAAAAGCCGCCGATGACAAAGACAGAGATTTTGATTGAGTAATCTGAGGAGAACAGAACTGGGCCGTGCACTTATTGCCGCCGCTCAAAGAGAGGGGTAGCGTATTTATGTATGTACACAGATACAGTTTTGTGTGCATAAGGCAGTTTTTGCGGATCGTGTTTTGAAGCTGAAATGTTTTGCTTAGTAGAAAATATTACGATACATCATGCCTTTCCTGATAGAAGCCTCATCTCGAAGGGGGAACGCAGTAAGGAGACCGGGAGGGCGACGAGCTGCGCTCGGCGCAGATTGTATAATGCTTCAAACTAAGTAGGACGGGGCGACTATGTCACAGTGTAGATTTGATATCGAATAAACTCGACCAATCCAAGGCTTAGGGGGTTGCCTCAGCTAGATGTTTTCATAAGGTGCCCAAATTCGAGTAGGCAACGATGTTTTTCTATGAAGTTCAGATACGCATTACGGAATTCATCTTCGTTTGAGAACTGCCCTTTCAAAAGCAACAAAGTGGACATGATACACAGTTTCTAGTTGAAACTAAGCAATACCTAGTTGAGGCTGAATGTTTACCACCCCAGCTCCTAGCGCGAAGGCAAGTATCTATGTATTTGTTCCCGAATTCAATCCTAAATCGCGCAAGTGGTCACCGTCTAGCCTAACGTGTAACACACATCGTTTTTGATGATTTTAAACGACGAGACTCGAACATACGAAAACTGATGATGATGTAACCAGTTTTCACGATAGCGGTTAAAATCGTGTCTTCGTGTAGACTCGACGATGATAAAGCTGGACCTAGTTTCGAAGACATCAGCCAATGAGCAAATTTTGACAATAGCTTTACAGCACACAACTTTAAGCCACGAAAGCAATAGTAGAGTGTAGTTATAACATTACAGAACTATAAAAAAAAAAAAAATAGCAAGCAGAATGATAACTGAAATAGGTCCAGTCTTAGGACGCCTGCCAGAAGTTGACATGCTTTATCGATGTGTAACTAATGTGTTCTCTCTAATGATTCAAAACAGGCCACGCCGACAGCGGCTGGCCTTTACGATTCCGTAACCCCTATGAACGAGAAGATAATATTCAGACAACTCGCGAAAGGCTGGCTTAATTTAAACGGTCAAAGTTTGTGTTCGAGGCGTTTCCATTAAACGACGTTACCTTGTGCCAACCGGCGCGGTAAATCGTTTATGTGCAAATACCTCTCTGATTTGGTTTGGGCTGTAAACACTGCTAAAATCAATCGCCATGCTTCATAAGGGTAGCATATTATCGTCAAACACACAATTCCTTTGGAATTTAGGTACAAATCAATGAGTGTTTATCAAATTGATAGGAAAGGGTTAATATTATTAAGTAAAGAAAAAAGCAAAACACGAACGGGCATGACCCAGGTCGTTAGTCCTGCACTATACAGTTCGAGACGGCGACTCGTTTTTCCATGGTTTGACGTTTTGTCCACATAGCCGACTGCAAGCTAAAGATTGATTGTATAATTTCATTGACGGAGTGACAATATGGGGTGAAACAACTACGTATTCGTCGCGGCTTTCCGATACGTAGAGACGTACGCGTGCCTAGACCGGCTGCAAAAATAGCAGCATCGTTCGAGTTCGTATTGATGAGGCACGAAAATATAAAGCACTTCACTGCAAATACTCTGTGATGTCCTACCAGCGCGATCAGTTGCAATAAGGACATTCGCTACAGAGAAAGGCGAAGTTCCTTTTTGTTTTGAGTAATGAATGTAAGCCCTGCTCAAGAAGGCTGCTATTTAATATAATCGACTTTCGTCGGGCTTGAGCGGGTTAGACGCTTAGGTGCAGACGATGGTTTCTAGGACAACTGCCGCTACTAAGACTTCATCGGTGGCCCGTTAACGGATCAAACATCTCGTTGCGTCATAGACGTGTTTAGTACTAATGTTTGAATATAGACAAAGTAGAAAGCAGTGCTAACTCTGGCTTAATTCAACAACTAGCAGTACGTTTTTGTGGAAAAACATATACTCTATATAAACATACACACGCGTACACCCAAACGCACGCACGCACGCGCGCGCGCGCGCGCGCACGCACGTAAATACAGGTACGCGCACAGTCTCTGCCTGTGCATGTGTTGATACTCAATATTGGCAGCCGATAATTCATGCGTATGAGAAGGTGCAACCTTGGCATCGAACCGAACGTTGAAACGAGTGTGATACATTACCCCTTGTGTTATTGACTGACAATCAGATAGACCATTGAAACCGGGTATATCGACCGTCTCAGCAACGGCACATCTCGGGAGCTGCTAGACCTTAAGGCCAGCGTCAGATGAAACTTTGCTTTATACTGTTGCCGCTGCTGTTCAATTCTGAGTCAACGCAAGCCCCTTAAACGTGCCAGCCAGGGGCCGGCTTAGCTGCATTTGCCATCACAATCACAATGAACCGTAAACAGTTTACAAGAAAGCAAGCACGCAGACAAACACACCCACACAGCAACCACCGACCACCATATGGACTAATAACAAATAGCTTTCCACTACACAAACGCATAACGCAAACATGTATGTTTGCGTTATATACCTATTATATATAGCGTAAAGAATTCATATGTATATTGGCCCTTTCGAAAACAACAAAAAACAGTTGGCAGGATTTTCTTCTGGGTATGCCCGAGCAGTATCACCTCTTGCTCTTATTAGACGGAACGCGCCGAGCGACGAATTACTGACGGCACTATTTATCAGAACAGAGATAAAAAAAAAAAAAAAAAAAAAAAGGAACCGAACGAGACGCAGCAGTAGAAAAGATGAGATGCAAGAAAAGCGACAAAAAAGGACCATTCGACCGGAAACTGCCGCGGTAATGGCCACAGATCGGGTTCTCTGGTCTGGACGCGGCTTTGCTGATGTTCATTCCGCATTTAAATTCGATACGGATAATAATAGCAAAGTGTTGAAACGTGTAAAGACGAAGGAACGTTTCATATTATGTGAATGTATGATTACTGTTATTTAATAAATAACTTGGTTCGACATGGGTTCCAACACGAGCGTTTTACGATTAGCGTTGCTCACGCTAGTGTAGAACGCTCATGTATATGCCTGTGGCCTATGGCTATGTGTCTATTTATCCGCAACGAATGATATATTTAACATACTGTCATGCTTGATTAATATCAGCCGAAGTAGCATAGAAAAATACAGCGTGGACGCTTCTCTCTTAACTAGACTCTTCAGACTTAGCGATGGGCCTGTTACGTGTACATAGGGCGCCGCTGGCCTTAAAATCAGTTCAATATAGTTGATTCTTTAAGTGAATAGCAAGCAGTCTCATAGAGGAAGGCGACGAAGGTCTAATACGAGTTTAAAAGTACTACTTCGTCGTACATAATCCAAGCTTCAGTTGACTCGTTTACCCAACTTTACTATATCCGAAATCAAGCGGCATTAGGTAACGAGATGCAGTAGAGTTTAGAAAAATCTATGTTGAAAAATGGTTGTTGTCTAGTTTGTCACGGTAGCTTCAGAGTATAGACAATAATTATGGCCATGCTGTCGGCGGAGCTCAATGTAGATTGTCGCAAAATTTTTTCCAGCTATGATTTCCAGCCCGCTTTAGTTCATTCATAGATGAATCTTACCAAACACGTTTGCCCATAACCACTGCGAAAATGTGCTTATGACACGGTTTATCGGTGTATGCTCTAGGTTTATCTGAAACGCTGATAAAATGGTGGTCGTCCCGTAAAGAGCAATGCTATGAAAAAAATGTAAATGTATTGAGTGTCAGGATTGGATTTTTGTCACGAGTCACTTCGGTTATTACCGAAGAGTCGTTCGGGTTCGTATGAAGATGAAGCCCAGAATGCTTATGCCTAAGGACCTCTATCAATGGATTTCTGTTTGAAGGAAGTGAAGGCTTGAGTTTTGAAGGTCATGCCTTTCTATCTAATAAAGCCATTATAACATCATTCGCAAAACATTTCGTTGGTAGATGAGGGAGTCCGCAAAGCGGGTACATAACATTTTTACTACTAACCGCAATATTATTAGATAACAACTATTGCTAGATGAATGAGAGTTTTACAGTACGCGTTGCCGTTAAGTCTTCTATCAGATGTCTGGTTTCCAACACGAAACGAACCAATAGCACAATGTACGTGTCATAAAAATAGGGAACAATGCACACCTAAATGCTTCGAGAAACACTAAAATTGTATCTACATAGATCAATTTTTCTCAAATTTCGCTTACTCTTTGTTTCCTGTGTATTCCACACGTTGACAGTCATGTTCAAGCTCTAAATATAAAAACAGAGCTACAAATTCAAAAGAAATCATACTAACAGACTAGATTAAGGCACGTCGGTAGAAAAAAAAAAAAAAAAAGGCTGCTAAAAACGTTCATATGCGATTCTGCAGGACGTGAGGATATCAACACTGAAGATCTTTTACTTGCTTCGTAAACCCTTTTACTATAAACGTTGTTTTTGCGTACTGGTACATCCCCTCATGGCTTACTATTTGAATTGGCTCTGTGCAAACTACCATGACTCATACTGTTACAGTTTAATGATGTTTGCAAATATTCAGTAATTATTTTGATTCGAAAGATTCGGTTCTACAGGGGAAGCTGAGATTTTCCGTATCCACCACCTGATGTTACCCTTCAGTCACCACTTCAGCTAGAACGCGACCTATGCTTGTTACAAAACCTACGTTAACGGAGTTCCTCTCAGCATTCTCCCGCATGCTCGATCGATTTAATCGTAGGATACGTATAATTACATACATATATGCATATGTGTAATGCATGTATAAAGATGCATCTATGTACTCATCAATTTCGAATATCTAGAAAAAGTGGATTTTGCACTGCTATTTTGACATGCCTGTATAGACAAGTCGGGTCTCATCATCAAGTCATTGTTGCCACTCTGTTAGTCGCCTTATCCTGCACTTTCTTTTCGATGTATTTTTATGGATAAAAAGTAAACGTGTACAATATTTATCTAGGCAATGTATCTACATGCTTGATTCGGTACTCTTCCATTGGCACTGTTCTCTTTTGGCTGAAAGGTCAGGCAGGCAACTCGTTATAATGGCAAGCTTGCAATGTTCTACCTTACGTCACTACACCGACAGCCCTGTGAAATTTATTATTAGTAGATCTATCTACATTGCAATTGTTCTTTCTGCCAGCAAGTCTGCTGTAGCCTGTTTTTAGCAGCGAGAACTTTTTTTGACCAATGAATCTATTTGCAGTTAGTTTCCTTTGTCTCCCCTTTTCACGCACAAACACGCCACCGCACACAGGCAGGCTCACACGTCGCATTTTAGCTAGGCCTGAGTGTCCCACACTCGTTCACTACTAGTCATCATTCCGTATTACCTAAGGGTATTTTTTTCTCTCAGGCCTTTGTGTTGTTAGCGGGTTGATGCTGTTGTTAGTGGTGGCTCTGTGTAGCAGTGATCGCGGTACGAGCTGCAGCGGCGGCGGCGGCGGCGGCGGCGGCAGCGGCGTTCGCGGTTATATGTCATCATAACTCATCGACGAGCGGTCGCGCGCGCGAGTTAAAGTAAATATTGATATTACTATTACCATCATGATCGGCATCGTCATCACCAGCAACATAATCATCACCGTTGGTTGGATCGTAGAGGCAACAGCGATTATCAGAAAAAGACGAAGAGAGTCAATTTCTACGATTACCTCTGTCTAAACTCTTTAAGCGATGCTTCGCGACGACCGTTCTACAAAATGGCGGTGATAGTTGCTACTGCTGCCGCCACCGCCGCCGCCGCTGCCGCCGCCGCCGCCGCTGCCGCCGCCGCCGCCGCCGCCGTCGCCGCTGATAATGATGACGATGTTGGCGATGAAGTTTGTTTTGCTAAACCCGAGAGCCGGCGCAGCAGCGGAAAGACGGACGAGCCAACGAACGCGGCTGTCTATGGACGTTGGCGTGGCCAGCAGAGTCTGCATTAATAGTAGCCATCGAGCTCACAGCATATGGAGAGGCTCGGATTTTGTGTCGTCGTCTAAGCGATGTTGAAGTAGGTATCTGTCGAGAGATTCTTTCTCCGACATAGATGAAAAGATATTCTATTACTAATACTATCGTTTTTGTCTAAAGAAACGCTGTTTTCATTCAATTTTCGTTCAGGATAGAACCACTAATGAAACCGTAGCCGTGACAAAAGGCCCGAAGTCTTCCTGCCATAACAATTGTATTATAATCCTAATAGATGGAGAGCTTAGCTAAAATTATATAGAAGGATATATCCGTTTCTCTATTCGTAACTATAGTAACTGGCCGTATGTGGTCTTTCGCGAAAACTGCCAGTGTCGAATGGTCAGTATTTTCATTCAAATTACATGTATTTTAGTCGTTTGTTTTATCAGAAGCGCTAGACTGTCTGTATCTCAGGGATCTGTAATTAGATTCCGGGGAGTTTTCAAGTAATATGTTGATGCGAGAACATGATGTTTGATGACCAGTAAGTGAAGTTTGAACACCACAACTTAATGACTTCTCAACAATGTTCAGTAATTTAAATTGCGTTGAAAACTTCAACTTTCATTCGTTCATAGCTTTTTCTATTAGCTAAAACACGAAAATTAAAAATTCATTTTCTAGAACTAAAGACTAAATGATTTTTCTTGATGGTGACTTGATGAAACTTCAAGTCGGAATCACTTTTTTTGACGCCTTTACATTAGCACAAGCAGGGAACACCTGTGACCTAGGTCGATCACTCCTTTCGGGTCGTCGTTACATATTGGAGCTTACTAATGAACCAATAAAATAATAACTTAGAAATTGCTTAAACAGAAAGTGTTTGTTAGATTACTAAAGATTATTTTTGTGTCCTTAAATATGTAAATCTTCACAAGCATCTGCTACCATGCAGTTATAGACCTTGTGTGTTTATATTGATGTTTGATATTAAATTGGGTAAGAAAATTCCAATGGCTTTTCTCGAAAGCTTGTTTTTGTAATCTTCGCCCACTTGTTATTTTTGAATGGTGTTCGAGGGCGGCTACATTATATAGAAATTTTAATTTCGATTTTTATTGTCTTTACATTACATAGAAATTATTTGAGAGAACTCTTCGAAAGTGAATGTTTCAGACCGAAAAAAATGTAAATTTTGACACCCTCTATGCCATATATTTCATTAAGGCTAAAATATTGTCGAAACGGCCAATTGTTGGGACAAAGGACAATTGTTGTTGTGCATATGGTAACAGTGTTATTGCTAAAAGGTCTGCTTAAGAATGGGTTGCCAAGCTTGAGAACAGTATCTGTGACGTATAGGATGTCCTTGCTTTCGCCGACCATCTGAAAGCGTCTTTGAAGGAAAACGGTCTGGAAATAACCCGGGAATTGATGGAAAACAATGGCCTGCAGCTATAAGACCATCGCTAATTATCTGAAGTTTTTTTTTTTTTTGTTTTGCAGATATTCGTAGCTCGGCTACCTCATGAGCTCTATAGATCCAACAACTTTGGACTTCAGCACTTTGTCTGATATCGGGCGTCATGCGAACACAATGACAGTTTCCTACACCGAATTGCCGCGGGCAATGACAGCAGTGACTGTATATTAACTTAAACTAGAGATCGGTTGTGTTGGCGTCAGGGAGGAAGCCACGGTCCAGACTCCAACCGTACCCTGCTTCATGGTAACACAAAGCAGCGCACGGCGAACATAGTCAAAGCTGCCCTCTTAAACCTCAAATGTTGCAGTCTTAGTGTTCTGCTGATTTTGCCGTGCCGATGAATTTCTACCTTTTTTGTTCGCTGAGCAGCCACGGTCATGGCCTCATCTTTTACACTGAGCAACAACTCAAACCGTACTTGGAACAATTGTCCGACATGAAACCCATAACTTTCTAGGGAGACGGCATGCATGATTTGTTGGAAAAAAAAAGTTATGAACGATGACGGGAAACACATACCGTAACAACTTCACGTTGCTTTCTATTCACTAGAAACTCAACACAATATATATGCTGTAGAGGCCTTTTGATGTACGTTAGATCCATTGAGAGGTTTACTCGAACGACGACGCTATTGCTTGCCGAACATATTTAGGACACGCGGTAATAGTAAAGATAACAACGTTGATCAGCTCGTTGTGACATCCGCATTACACACCAACACAACAAGCCCAGTTTGCACATAAAAACATTGTGTAGCATAAGCGATAAACAGATAAAATTAGTTTCTTTTGTCCAGTAATTGTTATTGCCTCTTAACACATTAAAGTGTTCAAGTATTATGATTACTCGTATGTATTGTGTGTTTCCTATCTATCTCTAGCGATTTTATCTCTTCAAGTGAATAGCACGTGTTGCTGATCGTCAATGCATGTTTGTAGAGTCACTTGTCTCCGTGTTGACCTTAACGCCAATTACTTTTTGATCTGTCTTCGTTTGTGTTCGAGGCGCACGCATAGAAAAGCAAGAAAACACGACGCGCTCCAGAAGACGTAGCGTGTTTGCTTTGTTATTGTTAATGTTATTGCATGCCGGACTGTTTCAACGTACCGATTCTATTTTTTTTCTGAGTTTCCTTTCGCCTTTGTGATGGATGGAATTCTACTTGGCCCCTACCCTAGGCTGTTGGCCTATGGGTCTTCCAGCCGGGTTCTGTGAACTGCGTGAGCGAGGAAGCGAACGGTCTCTGCGTGAAATTACGCGGGTGTCAGTCGTTAATTGTTCATTAACATTAATATATAGTTGCCGTAACAATTTCAGATACGGGCGTTGTTTTTGCTACGGCTATACCTTGTAGATTCGATGCTACGACAGGATAGCTTGCGTTACTGATGGCGCGCCATCCACCGCTGACTATGTGCGTGGGATGTCGACAAGAGTGATTTATACAAAACGCACACACACACACACACACACATATATATATGTGTATTTATTTTTGTTTGTTCTTTTTTTTACTATTGCCACATATCGGCTGTATTTTAGCAGACGGCATCGTTCGTAACACTATCAATAGAGCGTGCGAGGCTAAGGCGTGAGCTGCTATCCATCTTTGATTTGCAAAAAAAATTGCCGTTCTCGTCCCACGTATCAAAGTGTTTCACTTTGTCGCTTGTGGCTTACCACTGCTTCAGGTAGTCTGCTACTCCTGGTACCGTGATCATCTCGATCTCATCTTAAGCATTTGCCTTTATCATTCACAACACGATGGCAAGGCTGGAAAAAGACACCAAATGTGATTATTGATCGAAAAGAAGAAGGGATCAAGTGGAGGGATGAAGTGGCGTAGTAGAAAAAATCAACTAGAAGAAGGGAGAGGAAATATTCATCAAAAAACGACAATAAAATTAGACTAGGTCTAAACGGCGGATACGAGTTGGAGATAGAACATAAATTGCAAACGTGTGTTTTTATCAGCAAAAATATCAGAAGCTCTTTGGACTGGTTTTCTCGAACGGTAAGCAAGTAGTAAATGTCTACCTATATTGAATATTGCTCGATATGGTACAGGTGAAGGCGGAAAAATATTTTACGCTTAAGGTACCTCTAAATAAGGTTTCAGACCTTTTGAAAAGGAAATAAGAATTCACTAGGTTGTCTCAATATTGGAAAGGATTGCACATTTTATTTGTCGAGGTTCTGTTATGTATCGTTTTTTTGTCTATGCGTCATGATACTCCTCGCAGGCTCATCGTCATCAACAGCAAAACGCATCTTCTTCTTGAAAATGAGAGTTGCCCATTTCACTCTCAAAAAAAAATGTTCCGCAATTGTCGCCAACAGTCAATTCAGGTGTTAAATAGCATTTACCATTAAGCGATAGGACGATTTTTCTCTTCAATATATTTTCATTAGTAGGTACACCTAGTCATACCGTACATGTACTATGTGACGTGACGTGAGACGGCAGTCACCAGTCATTCATAATTCGATAACCTATATAATACACTTATGAAAAGCACTAAATGATCTTACGTAGTGCCGTACGTACAAGTAACTTGTTTACCTAGGTACAATTTTTCCTTTGTTTGTATCTTTGTTACAGCGGTGCCCGATCTGCTTCCCCTATCTAGAACTGACACTGTAGTCTTATTCACATAGAGACCGATATCTATGAATTGATCTCTGTATATTAATAGGGTTTGAATATCACGCATATTGACACAGACACACGCGTTAGGGCAAACAGAATGATAGGGATCGATTCTTTGAAGCCTATATTTGGTTCAGTTGCTTTCGTTCCTTGCCCTTCCTCTGTTTAAGAGCTATCGTTCTATCTCGTTCAAGAAGTTCTTCGTGGGAGCTTGCCTTTTGTCTTCATATCAGTTCAGGATAGAACAAATGAAATCACCGGTCGGTCGGTCGGTCGGTCGATCGATCGGTAAACTTCGCTTCGTTACCGACTACAGCTTGTGAAATTTCGTTAAAGATCACAGGTGCTAAATAATGACAATAATCTCCAGTGTTTGTTCTAAATATAGGTTGTCTTGTAGGAACAGTCTCTTGATTAGACCTTGAACCGAAACGCTGGCAGGATTGTTTTAAAATAAATCTGTAAATTTACTAAAAAAATTTTACGTGTTTTGGCGTCCTATGGCGCCGGAGAGCTCTGTCGGAGAAATCAGCTATTGCGTTTATTATCCGTCAATATTGAGAATGATAAATAGAAATAACAATAATGGACGCTTGCTTCTACCCTATAGTTGTCACATTTGAGTCATGTACTGCCATCGTCTTTATCAATAGTTATCTTTCACTTCTTTTCTTTTTTCTTTTGTCCGCTCATAAAGAAAGTGGAGAACAAATGTAGCTGAAAAATCAAGGTGCATTTTTTTTATGAATCCGATTTTTAGCAGCTTTACCATCGATTTTTTTTTTTTGTTCTGTCTTTCATACAGTTGTTTGTTTATATTTGTTGTTAGACCTTCAATTCGACAAGCTGCGCTGCCACAGTGATATGCTTGTTCTGTGTGTCATTCCGGTTGGCTTCTCTAAAGTCGGTTAGTCTCTATTTCTCTATACACGGACGCTCAACGAGTGTCCCACGTATATTTCACATAGCGCCTGGCAACTATCTTCTTTGAGGGCCGGATTTCACTAATCCTTCCTGTAAACCGCAAAACTAAGGGTAAACATGGTGTTTGTGTTTTCTATTTCCTCCTTTTTCGCCGCCAGGCTCGCCGTCTCGTCGTCTGGTTCAAAACCTAAAAGAATCGTCCTATATGCAGCGATGTGTTCCTTCTAACGGCATCGCTGCCGGTCAGTGATCATTATGAAAGCAAGTACGGACGAGAAGCCTCCTAAATTTGTTGCTCATAATACAAACAATCAAGATAGTTTTTTTTTCCTTTTGTTATACAGGATTCTATTAAAGCTGTGCCAGACATGACACAAATATTTTATATTACACATGAGATAACAGCATGTTCGCGACCATTTTCCCGTTGTAGCGGCTTGCCTTCTCAATATCTTGGTCAATTTCCCCCTTCATATTCCCTCTAACCTCTTTCATTTCTGTTTTCTTTTTTACACTTCTAGTCTCTTGCCCGTTTTTCCTACTGCTGTCGTCGTCATCGCCAATGCTCGGGTCGGTCCCACCTGCAAAATTTCCGCCATGTTCTATTTTTCTATCGTATGTATCTGCGTACTTATTGTAATAGTTTAGTTGGCCCGACAGACAGACTTTGGCAGGTTGTTTGACTGACATCTGTTTGGCCGGTCCATCCAATCGATTTGGCCAATTTCTGATTGGAGTCACAGGGTTACGCACCGCCTCGAACACTTCGTACATAGATCAATTTGTACTAACTGATGTATGTGGATTCCAGATGTACACACGAAACCTATATTCCACTCACAGGTGATCAGACGATCTTATTTTTCCATATATTCTAGCCATAGGTAAGCACAACTAGAAAGTCGTCTTTATGCGAAGGTAAGGCCACGGCCAATCCAGCCAGTGCCAGTATCATTTCGAATCGACACCACAAAGGCGTTGCCACCTCTTCAGATATGTCTATGGAAATTACACCTCATAATTCCAAAGCACGACATTTGTCTCAGCTTACTCTAATGTGGTGTGTGGTGCAATATTTCCCGGTGCTTCAGAGCAGTTGACTGAGGTTACGTATCCCGTCGCTACTTCCCGCGGCCGAATAATGTCTTCAATGTTGAAGGACTTCAAGGGTCGTTTTTCTGGAGGTCTACAAGGTATCGAATCGAGTACTGTGTCGCAAGACGTCACAAAGACAGAAGGAAGAAACATTTAAAACACAAGCTTAGTAGTCGTTTGTTATACAGCTAATATTCAGTCGGGCGAGGTATAGAGCCACGCGTCCGAATAACTAGGTTCATAGTTTAAGGAGCTAAGTTAACTGCGCAAGGCATTAGAAGTTGTTTGTAAAAGTCGGCTATAGCTATTACACGAATGCTAGTTAAGGCGGAAGCAATCTAATCTGAACTAGCACGCGAACGTCCTTAAGTAGGCCACTATGGGGTGGAAATCGCTATGATAGGAAAGGTCGAGCGAAACATTACTTCAACATTCTTCGATAACGTTATTTTAACACCACACGTTTAACACCAATAAGTCTCTTAAAAGTTTATGATGAATTGTTTGTAGGATGCATTCCGTCAGTATGAAGTCACAGATCGTAAGGTGATGATGAAGGAAGTTTTATTAATAGGCTTCAAAATGCAGTCAGCCTTAATTTTGCTTCTAATTGAGCCTTACCTGGATCGAAGCAGTTGGTCCCTTGAAACAGAAGTCTCTGCATGGCAAGATAATGTAAAAGTGAAGGCCCATTATCTAGAGGAGGTAAAGCCATTTGCAGCGGGAGAACGTGATCCATTAATGTTGGCACCTTTGGAACAACGCCTTGAAGACGGCGAAGAAGCTCGAGCTCTTGTTGAACTGTTAATTTATCCAAAGGGTAGCTGCAATCGCCTAATGGCATCCGACGTGACGATCCGGCGGACTCAGAGAACTGCATTCCCGATAGATTTACTTCATCAGACCGAAAGTAAGTGGAACTAATTCGGGGAGACATCTCATTTGAGATCGGCGTCTGGTCATGAGAAATCACTTGACGCGCGAGATGTTGACGCACTTGATGCCGAACTGCCAAGTTCGGGCGTCTTTTTCGCCGGCGGAAGTTTCCGTTTTCGAACATAGCCTCTCCTTTAGTGTCGAGCGTCCAATAGCAACCTTTACCTACAAACATATAATGCCCGAACATCGACGTGTTTATAAAATGCGAAAGCGTCCATCTCGTGAGTATATACGTTTCAATATACGTTAGCGTGTGCCCAGTTGTTAAGCTGCTATTCGAAATGATGAAATTGCTTTTAGTTACAAGTTATCATTACTAAGTTCTTTTAAAATAGGTGTGTTGCTTTCTCGGCCTTCTCAAGGCGATAGAGTCCTATAGGCTCACATATTGGTGCTTTAGAGCGTTTTGAGCAGAAACTGAAACCTATATTAATTTATCTATTAAATTATTGACGTGATCATTTAATAGCACGTATGCTTTTCAGCTAACTATAAGGGTTTAATTATTCGATAAGGAGGACTGTACAGTATATTTAAGTAGTGAATTGAATAAAACTAGCTTAAAAGGACCGAGATATTACCACGGGTGACAGTATTATTTCATGGCCTTCCCTTCGTTGTAAATAGATTATTATCAGTTGAGCTCTCTGAAACGTCAACAACCAGGAGTGACAATCACTATCGTTACAGAATGGCGTTTAAAAAACTAACTAGGATGTGCAATGCCCACTAAAGAAATCATTGAACCCAAGGGCAAGTATGCTGTTTGATTGTTTACTAACCGGGTTTGCTTTTTTCGCGTGGAACCTTTTGAAAGCAATCGTTAAGCGATAGGTTATGTCGGATCGAGTTTTGCCAGCCCTGCTTGTTGTCATGGTAGTAGGGAAAATGGTCCATGATAAAACTGTAGATTCCATTCAAAGTGATCTTTTGTTCCGGCGCGTTACGAATGGCCATGGCGATCAACGCAATATAACTATACGGAGGTTTCTGATGGGGCGGGCCTCCAGTATTTCCACTTTTCAAGTTTCCATGACGTTGAGTATCATAGGATTTAGGAGTGACTTGAAGCAGGCTGAAGTCAATCTCCTCCGCGATGTCGCACTGCGCCCGTTGTGATAGATCAATCGGTGGTGGGGACGCCATTTCTGCTTTACAACTGCCTTCCTGTAAGTTCTTCCACCTAAGGGGCCAAGTTGATCTCGCAATTTCAAGTTCAGTGTTCAAGATGTTACGCTATCTCGGTTTCTCGCCGTTTTTCTAGCTACATGGAATTGTAACTCTTGCATAAGTTTCCGCACCACTCTTTCAAAGTAATTACTGCTAATCAACACTTATTTTTTTTGGAAGATTGACCTTTAACTTTAGTTCGCGAACTTTTTTTTTTTACATCACCGTTTGTTCAAAACGTTACGTCAGCTTTACGTTGACCATTGACTGATTCACTCGATCCGGCGGTTCGTTTCCGACAACAGTGAATGTCTGTTAAGTGTCTCCTGTATAGAAATCAGTTTATACTGCGACTGGCTGGCAGCAAACGAGAGGAACTTCTCGGTGAAGGGACTTTATGCCGCGGCGATGTTTACCGTCCAGTCAGCGGCAAGCTAAGACCGAGATTGTTGTTGATTGTAATGCCTGACGACTGGAATGGACTATCAGTTAGAAGCAAGTAAACACTAGAACGTACATCGGGCTTATCGACATTTGCCGTCTGCCACGAATCGTCGATACCAGAGATCAACAACAGCTAGAACATCCTGTACAGCCACGCTCATATCAATAGCCGACTCTAGCTGGCCAGCCGGTCGCGGCCAGACAGTTGTTCGCAACCTTTAGATGGTTAATAAAGCAGTGAACAAAGGAAAACGTCGAAATTGACGGCTACCACACCAGCCAATGCTGTGGCTGGCTTACAAGGAAAATGAGGGAAGAGTCACGCTGAGACTTCACGTACTAGATGTTTCGAACGAAGTTTATAGGAACAGATTAAGTTGGTACAGCGAGGGGTCCTGCAGTTGAGCGAACTGACACAATCGTCTCGATTACGGCGGAATCATTTTGTCCTATTAGCTAAAATCGTTTCCTTCTTTGTTCTGCAGTGTCATGAAGTCGTCCAAACGTGTCGAACATCTCAGGCGAACAGTGAATGATACTGTCACTGATACCGGATGGTATCCTGAGGAGGAGCAAAATCGCCGAAGCCGGATAATTAAATATAGTAGGAGAAGTTCGGATAATACTGGTAGTGCTAAATATCGATCTGTCGCCAACGATTAGATGTACGCGGACGTTTTCTACGTATCCCGTTGCTATGGGATCATTTTGATAATCTGTTTGTTCGAAAGTGGTTTATGATTTGGTCATTGTGGCCAGAGAGAGTTAGATTGCAAACGTCAATGTAGGCATCGAATAGGGAACAAGCAAATTTTCAAGTAGTTTTGCTAATTTGAAGGTCGAAACGATCTTCCGACGTGTGCGTAATAAGTTTTCCCCGCCTTCTAATAGCACGATGTCTAAGATTCGTTTAGTTGTCCCTATAGAACGCAAGAACCTTTGACCTACTGACACTCCTCTTAATTAACAAGAAGCACATCGAACCGTAAATATCTTCAGCGTATATAGTTGCTAACACAGTTTACATACACAATCCTGAACCGAGTTCTAATTTTGCTTATCACCGAGTCGCTACACACTTCGAACACCCTCCAGTGTTGAGATTAGGTAAAGCCAATAGTCATCCAACTGACTGCACTGAGGCAATTAATATCGAGCTAATTGTGGGTGTGTCCTAAGGGCCCGACACGCTTTCTTCTAAGCGGTCGCCCAACACCAGAAAGCCTCTACAAGCGTATAGGCCGTCCACGTGCTGCCATCTCTGTTGACTGGTTCGGAGACGGCATGATCACTTTGTCGCTCTTTTTTGCCGACCGTTCTTGCCGAGTGTCCATAACCACCACCAGCACTGTTCCATCAGCGGTCTCCCGCGCGAATGTTGACGCTGCCGATGATCGACCCCATCGTGTTGTCAGAGACGCCGATTTCTTATTCTCGTTGCTGCTGCTGCTGCTGCGGAGTCTCGCACTCCGTGCTCTCCTGGGCTCGACCCCGCCCTTTCCCATCGAGTCGCGTGGCTCCGCCTCCACAGAGGATACTATACCATATCACATGATACATACACATAGAGCGACGCCGGAGATGGCCGTAGAAAAACGAACAGATAGCAACAACTACCGCTAAGTAATGTTGCATCTTGGCCATTAAATAACGGCAACGGTGATGGCATGGACTTCCATTTGCTCGTCCATGGTTCACAGTAGTGACAGATGTTTTAGATGGGCGGAAACGTCAGCAACAAACACACAATCACGTGTGCGAACCCAGTCAAGCGGAACTTTGCTTTTGGCTGGAACGTCTGCCTGGGCCTATTTATGTCCTATAATCAAAAATGTCCTCAGTTTTAACGAGAAATGTCTGTTTGAGCCAAATAAATTAATATAGATTCAGCGACAATAGTCGCAGAGAGCCTTTGGCACATACGCAGGCTGAGAAATGCAAACGCAGCATGAAAGAAATTATACAAAAACCCGTTCATTGTCATGCCTATCTGCCTGTTGCATCCTTCAACGCGACTCCTGTGGCTGTCGTTGCGGGCAGAATAGACTTTGACCTTAGTGGGGGTCGCAACGACAAGGTACGTCTAGAAATGGGCGGCAAGCAAACCTAATAGACCCAAACATAAGAATCAGAAGTCAATAGTGAAGCCTAGACAGCTAAAACGAGCGACTATGCTGGACATTCAAAAACATCAAACGAAAATAATTGATAAAATTAGAAGAACGAGATGATCGAATACTAAAGAATGCTTCACCCATTTTCACCAACCGATGAACATTACATTGCAAAAAAGCTCCCAATTCAACTAAGCGTGTGGCCTACTTATGTCCTATAATCAAGAATCTCATAACTTTTAGGCATCACTATTTCAATGTTATTTATCTGGGTCACACGAAGATGATTTTTAAAGTGAATAAATCATGGCGGAAAGGCCATAACTCAATGTATAAAAGGGGATTCTAGTTTAAAATTATTTGAGTTTGTCCACTTGATCAGCATGCTTTGGAAATGGTAGCCTGACAATATCATGCCAAATCTTCTGCTTGTGGAAATATGGCCTTCGAAATGGGCAATCATTGTTGACGTCGTAAACTTCGACAGCTGTTGAGCCTTAAGTAGTAAGCGTAGCCACGCTTCAATTACCACTGCTTTAACAATCAGAGTTTGTTTTACGGTGATTTTACGGTTTTACGGTGAAAAAAATTGATACAATCTGCTCTCGAACCCACCCCAATAGTCTACTAAACATGATATTCTAATACAAATATTGAATACTGACTGGAACATAAATAAAACCTGTAAATAAGAATGGTATTAAGCACACTAGTTGACCGAGTAACCGACTAGCTGACTGAATTTTCTATTCAAATGCTTAAAGCTGTTTCTATTGGTAGGTACGATTATCAGGCTTATCTATGCCGGAACGTGTAAATAAACAATATCGATATCACAACTACCGATAAACACATCATCTCTCTACGTAAACCTTTATAATGTATCGCTGTTGCCGCCCCCGTCGTGAGGTTGACTTCTAGAATAAATCGAGCCAGGCAATCCGTTGCGGGATTTCGAAGGACAACGTTCTTCCATTTCTAGCGAAGCTGACTTACGAACGGGCAATATGCTACAAATTGTATGTAATGCCATCGTGAAAATAATCCACCACGCAGCGTTTGGACTCTTGGCGTTCTTACGTTGTGCTATAAACAAGAAAGAGTTGGGCATTTGTGGTTAAAATGAAGCAGGATGCTGGAAAGTTGTCAAAACACCACATATCGGCCAGGTCCATATAAGTTGATGTCTAAAATAATTAGAAGCACGAATATTGAATTATGCTTGTCCATAAGGGATGCCCTGAATGACGAATTGGCCGACATTTACCTCATCTTCTTCTTTTCGAAAATCTGTCAGCACGTAGAACTTGACTTCAGTGTGATTAGTACGATCTTCGCTCCTGGCAGACGTTCTGCGTTCGTGTGAGGAGCGCCGTATTGGTATGTAGTTGGAGAAAAGGACGCATCTATAACAGCGAGTATCTTCTGCTAACAATGTTTTATTAAGCACTTCTGTTTGCTATGTTTTACCCTATTCACAAGCTATACGCTCACTGCAATCCCATCAGTCAGGCTCGTCTACGATCAATTATAAGAACCGGAAATGTGACAGGAGTCTCGAAGGGCCCTTGCCGAAAACTCCTTGCGTTTTAGCTTTTTATAGTATGGCGCTTTTTCAGCGTGAGACTTCTATGTATTTATTACCGCCATGTTACATTCGATTACTTCTTTTGATTAATATTATGAAAACTGCACAAAGGAAGGAGTATGTGTGCCTCACGCGGTCCCCCACACTACCTAAAGATAGATTTACCAATTAATAACAGATTAATCAAAAAATAAAAGAAAAAATCCAGAACGGATTTACCGAGTAAACATTGCCTCTAATCATTCGCGCCATTGTCGATTACTTGCCGGCATATATTCGTGTAGAATAAGAGGGGGCGAAATACTTAACAGTTTGTTTACGGGGCGAATGTACACATATCCGCATGTTACCGCCGTAGCGATAAGAGACAACGCCCGTAGTCTGCGATGGAAACAGGATAAGTTATTTTGTCGGCACGCTTTGTATAAATATTTAGCTTGTAAAGATTAGCTGCTTAAGTTGGCTAGCGTGAGATATACTGCGCCGTGTCCGTCTGTGATTTTTGTGTTGTTGGGTTTAAGCTTATTTCATTGGCTCAATGGCGCGTGCAAAACGTTGCTATCGAATGTTTTAGACAGTATTCGAGATTGGCAGTAACTTTGTTGTCTACATCAACAAAACAATAGCGTAATTCGCGGATAGTGGCAGCGTCGATAACGACCCGCACACAAGCCAAGGGGAACGTAGTTCAAGGACCGACGGATTATCGGTTTGCTCTGTGGCTAGTAGCCGACAAGTTTACGTTAAGTGGGTTTATTAACTGTTTCAGTATTTTCTGTAATTAAGTAAGTAAGCTAGTTAATAGATTAATCAGGAAATCATAGTGACGGTATCTAGTATGTTCGTACGAGCATGTTTTGCGAATCGTCTTCTACAAATAACGTAAATAGATGTGTATGTACATTCTCGATATCGCAGTCAATCTGGTGTTTTTTTTTTAGGTGACTATAGTTCTCCGCAGACATGGCCCAGAAAGTGTGAGAAAACATAGAGCGATCAGAAATACGCCCAAGCTCCGTGCTCCCGTTGAGACGAGCGATTTTTTAGGTGATATATATATATATGTTTGCAAATACACTTTTTGATTTCTTCAAAAATCGAATCTTCTAAGTTCAACGGTACAGTACCAGAAAGTGCAGCGAGCTACAGAGAAACAATTGAATCACCTCTGAAAGGTCTTCCATCTGCACCTGAAGATAAGTGGCTTTAAAAAAATTTTGTCAGTAAAAGTTTTAGCCAGTTTGAACGAGGATGGATATGGCCACAGCTTCAAGAAGATTTTTAGGCTTAAAGTGTTCTGCATAAAAGCTTTCGTCCAAAGGCCTATCGGTATGCAGCTAACGAATACTGATGAAATAGTTATATCCTAATAAGCACTAAATTAATCGTAGGGTTTGAACACCTCCGCATTGATTTATTTAAATTGACGATAGTCATCCCTTTGGTTCGGTACGGCTTCTGGATTATTTAATACCTCTCGAAAAGCCTGACACTAGAATATCTCAAGAAGAGCCCCCGAAGATGCCAATTACTAAAACTATCTTGCAGGGCCTGAGAGTGTACAATTTTCTCGTCAGTTTTACTTGATTTAGCCGCTCCTGTGTCCAGCCTGAGCAATCAAACTCGCCTTTATTTCCTTGCAAGGATTCCAAGTATTACATATATTCGAAGAGCCCCCATTTCAAGCGTCACAAGTTGTCGGCCTTGTTAACATTTACCTAATCCACTTTGGTTTTTACCAAAACTCGCGTATGTAAAGTCCATCCTTAAATAATTTCTAGGGTATCCGCCGGACCACAGCGGTGACTTGAGCTTAACATCAAATTTGTCGCATCTTTGGCTGCATGCACTAAATCATATGACTGGTCACAAATAGGCGACATAAACTTACAACAACAATAGGCGACAGAAACTCGACAAATATTGCGTCCTTTACTATGCCTTTTCCAGATTTTTACGTTACAATGCCTTAGTTTTTGGAATATCGCTTTTGAGCTTTAAATAATTCACTGTTTTATGCAAAGTACCTTTAATGAGCAGAAATCTAAGAACCTCTTTTATTAGATAGACCACTTCTAAATAAGCAATGCTTGTATTAAACAAGAGGAACGTACCTGGCTGTGTTCGAATTTATGGAACGGTATTGTTACTTGAAGTCTGAGTGAGCTTTTCAACTTCGTCAACTTAGACATCTTTTTGTGGTAATTAAAAATTTGATATCTGTTTTTTTATCAGTTTCCGATCAGACACTACCTACAAGTCATACTTTTTGTTATGAATTAGCTAACTTAAAGTAAAAGAATTTTTTCGATTTTCTTCTGGTTTCATCAGTCGACCAAGATGCCTTTTCGATTCTTTTAATCATGGCTTATGCAGCCGGCTTGTCCAACCATGGAATTAAAGATCACAATCTTCATTTGTGCTCTCTTAACATTTGTTCGGAGGTTCCACCATAGATCTGAAGAAATACTTCAAAAGCTTTTCTTAGTAGTTACAGTTCGAAATAATGCTAAAGTGACTTAGTTACCCCCGATTTTTGTTCTATTTGAATTAACCATGTTTAGATGTTCGTTTTCCGTAAATGGGGAGGCTGGGTCGAATCGCAGTGGAATGAGCAAGGCATGTAATAACTAAAGTGCCGCTCAACTTCAACTCAAAGCATAATCTATTTTATTCATACTATTGGTACAGCGAACAGGCCAAACTAGCCCGGCCTAGTGTATCTGATATCAAGTAGTTTTGGGTAACTAGTAAAAGTATAGAGGCTTAACAACAGAATATGTTAATAAGTAGGTTAACGAAACGTATACCATTATATAATAAGAGTTTCAACAACAATACTCTATCAGGGGGAGTGTTGGATGAGAAAAAACGTCGGCTGTTTAAGGGTGGACGAGTAGTTAGTTGAAGAGCCAGGTGGGGGATGATCATCCAGAG